CAGCGGCTATTCACGGACTTGTTCTGCAAGGACCTCAGTGGTGCCGAAACTTTCTGGCGGGCCGCTTGGCTCTTGGGAAGCATACTGTGCGTGTCCGCCCCCCTGCGTTTGACACGTTGCGGGTAGAGCAACATAGGATGTTTTCCGCTCACAGTGTTGCCACGTAGGGAGCATCGTGGGATGGTGGGACTCGGAAGGTACTGGTTTCGTCCAGTGTGGTGTTGCCATGTGACGGGCAGAATATAAGAATGTGTCTTTGAGTTCCCGGCGTTGCCGTGGGATTCAAATGCCAGGAGAGGACTGGTGTCGCCCTTCCGCCCAGACATTGCTGTGTGACGAGTAGAGTCGAATTGAAGGGTGAAGGGTATTGCTTCGGGCCGTAATTTTCAAGAGGAGGGAAGAGAGCGTCCGTGGGGAGGAAAGAGGGGAGAGAGGGGGGGAATCCGACTGGAGAGGTAAATGGGAGGGGAGGTGAGTTTGCATGTGCCGTACGGGGAAAAAGGGTTGGGGGCTTTCCGGCAGGCAGTGGAGCAAAAGGAGGGGAGGGGTGGGGGAGCTTCGAGCGGAAAAAAATGATTGAAGGGGTGGGGGGGCTTCCGAGCAGGGAGGTGAAAGAGAGGGCCCCCCATTTGCTCGGTTTCCCGCGGCGCGCGGTTTCAACCATACGGAAACATTTTTTTGTCAACATATTTGCCAGGTTTGTTGAATGTCCGCGCTCTCGCGCGCATTTCCTCACCATTACCCTCAGCGCCATTGCCACCAGCATCAGTTATCTACTTTCATCAGCGACGGGTGGACCTCATCATCGTCATCGTCGTCCCCAGCATCGGTACTGTCATTGGCCCTGCCGTCGTCATCGTCATCAACGCCACCACTATCGCTATTATCATCATCGTTGTCGCCGTTGCCGACGTCACCATGATACCGCGCCCGCCGAACTCACCGACACAAGCCGAAGTTCCCGCGCACCAGCGCGGCCTTTGAGACGCGCTGGGAAGGCCCCATCGGTAAGTGCCATCGCGGCCGCGTCGGTTGTTGCAAACCTCTTAGCGACTTGATCTTGCGCGCGCAAGCGCAGCCGCAGAGATGCGCCAGCCAGAGCCACGTCGTCACCGCAGTCACGGCCGCATGGATTGTGCAACACGAATTGCGGATGGAATGGTGGAGTGATTCCGCGAGCTGTTGAGCTGATGACGTCGAGCTTTGCAAAGTGGATTGCGCCACTTGGTTTGCACCAGACAGCTCGTATTACAGATATTGCGCGACGTAGCTGGCACTGTATAGGTTGCGTCGCATAAGTTGCATCTCGAAGAAAGTGCATTACAAATGTCGCGTCCAGAGCTCAATCGCGCACTGTGTTGGGGATCCCCGCTGGCAAATCAGCTCGAGAGAATGGAGGGGGCGGAGGAGGGACGACGGGGATAGCTATGAGGTGGAAAGAGGGGGAGGGAAGCAAAGACAGTAAGTACTCCCTGGATGCCTCTGCCTCCCCCCTTCGCCTCGTCGTCCTCCCCGTTTCCCTCGCGAGTGCTCGAGCTCCCATGATGGTACCGAGAAGTTTCGAAGTGAACATCATCATCACCAACAACAGCATCATCAACACCAGTCTTCATAACCGTCAGCATCACCATTTTCTTCATCATTATCGTCATCAACATCAACATCATCATCACCATCACCATCACCATCACCATCACCATCTCCATCATATTCATCGTCATCGTCATCATCATCATCATCATCATCATCATCATCATCATCATCATCATCATCATCATCACCATCATCACCATCATCACCATTGTCCTCGTTCGTTGCGGCCGGGATGGTCTCTCTGTCTCCCGCTCTCTCTCTCTCTATCTGTGTTTTCGCTCTTGCCCCAGGGATGCCATGGCAGTGCTTCGCGTCGGCTCTGCTGCCCGTGCGCCGTCGATTCCTCCGTGCATCCATCTCTGTCCTCCTCGGCCTCGCCGGTGCCCTGGCAGCGGCCCCAGGTCGGGGTGGCGGAGTGCAGCCTGGGGCACCCCATGGTGCACGCGGCGCGCCCGGGCGGCATGTGCGATCTCTGTGGGGCGATGGGCGCGCCGCCCCCGCGCCGCGAGCGGGGGGGGCAGCGGGCGAGGCCATCGGGGGGGGAGGAGGGCCCAGGCCTTCCCGCTCGGTGACGCTAATTCGGCGCGGGGGTCCCCGCCGGTGCAGCTTGCAGTCGCCCGTGGGAGTCCAGACTCGGTGAGTCCAGGCATGGGCGGCTGGAGTCTGGATCGGGGGCGGAAAAGAGGAGGGTGATGACCAGGGGGGGGGGGGATATCATGGCGGAGGCCATGATAGTTCCCCAGATTTCATGGCGCCTCTTCTTATTTCATTACGTCCCTGGACCCCCCACTGGGCCGCGCACATGCCGCCGGTCATGATTTGTATCCCCCCCTCTTGGACACCCCCCTCTTGGCCGCTCCCGACTGGAGTGAGTCTTTGTGTGAGCGAGTCTGGAGTCTGAGTGCGGTTGATCTTGAGCATGAGTGATTGGGTACGAGCGAGGTTCACTTCGAGTGGGAACGAGCACGAGTGCGTCTGGGCATGACCGTCTGAGTACGAGTGGGCGCAAGTGTCAGTAGGTATGATTACGAGTCGGTCTCTGTACGAATGAATATGAGAGCGTCTCAGCATGAACGGCTGGGCACGAGTAGGCCTAAGCGTGCGTAAAGCCGAGCATGTGCGATTGAGCGCAGGTGGGTCTGATAATGAGGGAGTCTCAGTATAATCGGACATGATGATTGGTGAGTCCGAGTATGATTCAGGGCCTCCTGAGGTTTCGTGCAGCCTCCCAGGCCGTCCTGGAGGCTCCTGAAGCCTCTGTGGTCTTTCTGGCCCGATGTGTAGGTACGCCAGCGTGCCGTGTGACTCCTGATGCCCGCTACAGCCCTTCTCCCGCATGTTCCTCCCATTTTTTTCTTGCCGCAGCCGCCGTTTACGCTCAATCGTGTACACGGTGACTCCACGCATCAGCGCTAGTCCAGCGCACAAGACATTATCATATTTCTACGCATCGTGCATCACGCTGTGGATGTAAACACATACCACTCCATGGTATTGTGGGTAATATTATGGACCAGACAAGCGTCGGATTATCAGCCGAACTTGCCAGCTTGAGGATTGACTATGATGGCAGAAGTGGGCCACCTTGTCGTTGGGGTACCGGGCCACATAATACTTGTAATGGAGAGAGATGGCCCAAAGTTTAGGCGGCATTACTCTTGGAACACATTCAATAACTTAGCTTCGCCGAGCGCACCTGCACCAGCGAGTGGATCACGAGTGTTTGGGCCATCGGTAACTGTTTGTGGAAGGACAACTTACTTGACCGAGAAGCTTGCCCAGCTGCTCGCCCAATGGCAGATCAGTTCGCGCTGTTCGAGTCTGCAAAAACCGACCACGCAAACTACTTACATTGCCCGCGGCGCGGGGATCGAACAGCTGAGCAGGGTTATACAAAAGGGATATTCCGAGTTGGCCTGGGCAATCATTCGATCGGTAATATGTCCATGATCAGATGGTGGTTGTTCAATGGTTTCCTGTGCAGTTGTGTTCGAATGACATAACACAACCTCGACACAGTCAAACACATTCATCGATTTTGCATATGAGTATTCGGAAAGGTTTATCCGAGTGAAGGGGAGGCGATCCCTGCGCGGGCGTATCTTGATGGAGGGATCCGTCTCTGGGGGCGATATACGGGAGCAGTTCATGGGGGCGATACTTGGGGGTTCATACGTGGGCGTGAATGTTGGGGGCAGTAATATGCGGGCGATGTTTGGGGCAATTCGCAGGGGCGTTTTTTGGGGCAGCATGTGGGGGCGGCACATGGGGGGCAGTACACGGGGGCAACACATGGAGGCGATACGTGGGTTAGTACGTGGGGACAATACCTGGGTTAACACATGGCAATACATGGGAGCCGCACTTGGGGGCAATGGATGGGGGGCAATAGTTTCACCCCCGCTGCCTCCCCCGCACTCTTATCTGTGGCTTTCAATTCTCAAAAACAATGCTTGCGTTCACGGGGTTGTGCTACACTTAGTTTAGTACTGCGTTGGGTATTCTGGATTGTCGCCACGCTGCCGCCCGTTGCCGCCTCGTTGCCGCGTCGTTGCCGCCTTGTGTTCTGTGGGTATGCAGAGGGTTTGCCACGCTTTCACCCGTTGCCGCCTCGTTGCCGCCTGCGGGGGCATGAGGACATGCCCATGGCTCGCTACTTTGCCGCCCGTTGCCGCCTGTGTGGGTTTGCCGAGGATCCGACACGTTGTCGCAAGTTGTAACCTCGTTGCCGCGTCGTTGCCGCCTCGTGCGTTGCGCAGGTGTGCCCAGGATTCGCCACGTTGCCGCCCCGTTGCCGCTTCATTGCGGGTTCGTGCGCTGCGTGGGCCCTGCGAGGGCCGAGGGTTCGCCACGTTGCCGCCCGTTGCTGCCGCACGTTGCCGCCCGTCGCCGCCAGTGGGGTGTGCCAAGATTGTGCTCTCTGCGGGTGCGCCCGAGATTCACCACGATGCCGCCCATTGCCGCGCCGTCGCCGCCTCGTGCCACGTTCTCCACGTGGCTTTTTTTATGCCGTACTGTTTTGATGTTGAAATGAATACGATATCGAATGACCGTCGGCCCGTCCCGCTACCGTGCCTGGATTGTGGGTCAAAGTCCTCAGGGATGCTTGTTGGGGTCTGTTCGGAACGCTCTCGGGAGCCTCCTGGGGGCAGTTTTGGGGCCACTTGGGAGACTTTCGGGTGCCTCTTGCGGGCCTCTGGGGGACCTCTTGGGGGCCTCTGGGGGGGCCTCTTGGGGGTCTTTTCGGGCCTCTCAGGGGCCTCCTGGGGACTTCGGGCCTCTTTGGGGCCTCCTGGCGGCCCCTCTGGTCCTAGGGCTCGAAATGTCCGAGCGGGTCTCCCGTCTGGCTCCCCGCTTGGAACACCGCTTCGGGGGCCGTGTTCGAAGCCTCTTTGAGCCGTATTGGAGCCGTTTGGGGCAGGGTTGTAGGGCTTCTTGGAGGCCTTTTGGGACGATGTTGGGGGTGCGTCGGGGCGCCGAAAAGGCGAAAACGCCAAAATCTTTCAGCCTGAGGAAGCTCAGTGATTGTTTCCGCCTGGGGCCCTCTTGTGGGCCTTTTAGGGCGTCTTGGAGAATTCCTCTGCCGTCTTAGGCGTTTTGGGCCGATTGGTCCAGCGTCTTGGGCCGATCTTTCCGGCGATTCTGGGACCTTCTGGATCATTGTGCAAGCTTCCTGTGTGTTTCTTGGCCCGTTTGGGGGTGCCTTTGGGGCGGGCTAACGTCCTGGAGGCCCACGCGACACACCCCGGGAATTCCCAAAGATCCCGAGGAGTTCCCAGGAACCGTTTGGAAACCGCGGGTTCCATCCGACTTTTGTTGGCCCTCGGCCTTTCTCTCAGATCTGCACGCCGTGGGGCACCCCGCTACAATTTGCGGGCACGGTGACGGATATATTCTCTTTTTTAAAAGACTAATAGATTCTACCCCCCCCCCGGACTTATCGGTTACCCCGCGCGTGCTGTAAATTTCATATGATTCTGACCACATGTCCATCCTAAATATGAATTCATACCATCCCAGCCAAGCCGGGTTCCCCCCCCCTGCGGGTCCCTTGTAAAACAAACACTATGCGGTGACATTTGTTGTTCCAACATCGCACTTTTTCGCGAATCCTTTTGCAAAACATGGGACGAAGTGCGCACGCGCGCGTCGTGGCGCGCGCATGCCGAAATCCTTCAAAAACCGTCGGTTCCGGAGAGATTTCAAAATGGAATTTCCAAAAATCCTATAAAAAACACATGGTTTCGCAACACTGATTCAAAAAAAACTTACGCGCGAGCTCTTGCGAAATCTTAAGAAAACCATTGGTTTTCCAAGATTTTCACAAAATGCTACCAAACGGGCTTCGCGGGCGCGCATGTCGAAATCTGTCGAACGCTCTTGCGCGTGTGCCGTCGCGAGAATCCTTTGCAAAAAATGGGACGAAGTGCAGACGCGCGCGTCGTCGCGGGCGTATGCCGAAATCCTTCAAAAACCTTCGGTTTCGGAAGAATTTCGAAATCGCGCGTCTAAAAAGCATACAAAAACACAAGGTTTCGCAACACGGGTTTTCAACAAAATTGTGCGCGCGTTCTTGCGTCGTCGTCGTCGTCGTCGTCGTCTTCCCTCCTCCCTCGTCGTCGTCGTTGTCGCCGTCGTCGTCGTCTTCTGTCTTTCCTCGTCGTCTTTGGCGTCGTCGTCGTTTCCGTCGTCGTTGTCGCCGTGGTCGTCCTTCCTCCCTCGTTGTCTTCGTCGGCGTCTCGTCGTTGTCCCTCCTATTTCGTCGCCGTCGTCGTCGTCGTCGTCGTCGTCTTCACTCCTCCCTCGTCGTTATCCTCCTCCCTCGTCGTCGTCGTCCGTCGTCGGCGTCTCGTCGTCGTCCCTCCTATTTCGTCGCCGTCGCCGTCGTCTTCGTCGTCGTTGTCATCGTCGTCGTCTTCCCTCCTCCCTCGTCGTTGTCGTCGTCGGCGTCGCCGTCCTTCCTCCTTTTTCGTCGTTGGCGTCGTCGCCGTCTGCCCTCCTCCATCGTCGTTGTCGTCGTTGTCGCCGTCGTCGTTTTTTCTCCTCCCTCGTCGTCGTCCCCGTTGGCGACGTCGTCGTCGTCTTCGTCGTCGTCGTCGGCGTCGTTGTCGTCGTCGTCGGTGTCGTCGTCGTCGTTGTCGTCGTCGAAAACATTGGAGACGTCGTCGGTGTCGTCGCAGTCGCTGTCGGCGGCGCCGTCGTCGTCGATGTCGCTGTCGTCGTCGGCATCGGTGTCGTGGCCAAGTGCCACGCAGTACCTTCCGTCACGGTCTTGTCTGAAGATGTCTTGCGACCAAGTTGCCGGTGGGAGGGTGGGATTTTTGCACGAGCAGTGGAGAGGACAGCTTCAAGACAGTCGAAGTGGCTTACAACACGTAGATTGCACGACATTGTGCTCACACTCATGGGTACGCAACTCACACCACACACTTTTGATAGCATAGCTTACACAGCAAACAACGCATTTCCAATGTGAAATCACCAGTGTTTGGGGCCAGCGTATACGAACATGTAGCTCGCCAGTTTTCATCCAGCTTTTGGTTATGCCTGTCCACAAAAGGTGCTACTCAATATTTTGATGAATTCCTAGCTGCGGGAGCCACATCGGTGATCCTGGTGAGCCTGCATCCTCACACGGCCCTTGTATGTATTTCCAGTTTTGTCTGTGGATGACTTGAAAGCAATGCCGCGCTGAGCACGAACGCATGCACGCATGCACGCCAAGACGTGGGCCGAGCAGTATTTGTGGGATATCATGGATCTCCGACTTTCGGACGGCGCTTCACATTTGAACGTTCGGATCGGACATTCTATTTGGTAGCGTTCATCCCGGCCCATGTCATGCTATCACCCGCCCGCTTGCCGCCGCTGCGGGCGCTTGGTGCAAGCGTCGTGTACCTCAAAGGT